TGCAGGTGAAAATCGCAAACAAGAAACAGTATCAGATGGTGGTGACGGCACTTCTATGTCTTTCTTAGCTTGTGCAACTGAATTAGTAGCTGTTGACTCAAATATGCTCTTCCCCGTACCGAAAAAGGACATACTTGACAATTCGCAGTGAGGTTGTACAGGCAAACAACATACTTCACAACCAATCACGTCAAAAGTAGGTTTTTATCATTGTTCAAACTGAATGTGTTTTATAGGTTCGAGCATTTTGGAATGATCGACTTATTAATTTACACACCATATTGGTCAGATTATTTTAGCCGACATATTAAACGCACCCATTACTCAGTTCAATTTCAAACAATTGTATAATAGTCAGGAAGCAATTGTAGCGTCTCGAGACTCCCTGAAGACGAAAGAAGACACAATACTCGGGCAGAATATATATTTAGCACGGAGAAGGTGTCTGGGCTATTGGCATGGCCCAAAAGGCCAGCCCACCCATCGAGGTACAAGGGGGCTAATTCAAAGTCCTAAAGTCGCGCCTCACCAAAACCAAGGGATAAACCACTATTGTATTACACAATACCCTGAAATGGTCAAGAGCGACCTTGACGTCACCGAAACAAGTGAACTTCGAAAGCTTTGGCCAATTCCTGTCTCAACAAATATTAATTAGGACAAATTTGCTTCGCATGTATGCCCGAAGAACTCCAAAGTTGCCATGGGGCAGAAACAGTTTTATGGTCTTTGGAAAAATAACACGGTTCCCCACTGTTTAATGCATTGCCCTCTTCTATCAAGAGAGGATAGCAGAACTGATTGCAAAATAAATGTGTAAGCCTCTCAGACCTCCCCTAATGTAGTGATCCAGGGTGTTACTAACGTGTAGAACGGCATAGGAGCTGTAGGTGTGATATATTGATTGATTAACTCTCGGTTTTGGCGAAGGGCTTCTTTGTCGGGGGCATTGTACCTCACCGGGTGGCTGGCCTGCAGAGGATGACAGTAGCCCCGAGTCCTTCTGTATATCGAATATACATATTCTGCTCGGGTATTATGTATGCTTTCGTCCTCA